TCCTACTTACCAGCTTCCAGTAGGAAGAACATTTTTCTGTGTTTTGTGCTGAGACACTGATGACCACTGGTTCAATCTTCATTGTTAGGGGAATCAATGGACTCAAGACCTCTCACTTAGGTTCTTTGAACCCAGCGGTGTGAGTTGGGCTACAGGCCTACACAAAGGTAGCCAGAGAAATAGCACTCTGCAGGCAGGCCCATCTCGTCCCCCATGAAGGTCCCACCAACGTGTGGCGGAGGGAGGGGAGTCCCAAGACCATTTGGGCTCCACATGCAAGCCACTTTCAGTTTTATGCAAAATAAAATGCTGATGTCTATTTCCGTATTCGATGTCTGTGCTCAGTGTCCACTTCCTGTGTCCATGTTTCAGTTGATTGGCTCCTCCAAACTCCAGTATCTAACATTCCTCCAATTATATAATTTATCTATTTAAGACATTGCCTTCTGAATCATAGGAAGTTTATCCTCCTTATGAAGAAAACTAAATGGTACAAAATTTTGTGACATGATTCTGTGTAGAAAAAGATATATACAGAATTTTCACTCTTTGTATGAAAATTAATTTTCTCCCTAAATCATTAAGTCTTCAATAAAACAATGTGATTTTTTTCCCCTCCTATTTTTCTATAAGTCATAGTCTCCTTGAATACAGACTCAGGATTTGTAATGCTCTCCAGGCTCTACGCAACAATCTCTAAATACTTATATCAGCAAAACAAATTTACTCATGAGCAACATAGGAGCTGCCAGAATCAATTAAAAATAAGTGGTGTAAAACAAATTGATGGAGGATAATTTTGATACAACATCATTTCAGCTTATAAAATGTCTTCCATTTCTAAAAATAAGCAGACCTGAATATAAAAGAAAATCCCTAAGAAGCAAACATTTGTTCCATTCAATAAAAACAAATTGTTTTTATGTTATCTGAAAGGGTTCAGTCAAACAGAAATATTGGCTTTGAAACACACCCATTTGAATAATTTGGCAGAAGTGTTTTTAAACCATTCTTTTACATGATTTAATAAAAATGGCACTACCATTGGAAAAATAATGAAATAGAAAACTTTGCAACATAAAATGAGTTACCATAAAATGTAAACATTATAAGAACAATTAAGCTTTATTATGCTACTAATGATTTGTACGGTTGTATTCCTTAATGACCTTGAAATTATATGTTTTTTAAAAGATGGGTTTTAAAATAACATGACTCCAAATGCTACAAAATATAATTTTCTATTTTAAAGCAGTTGTCTGCAAATAAATATTGGAAAGCTGTTTCTAAATCAGTCATCAGAAACCCTTATGTAATTAGTACTGTTCAGGGCCAATTCCCCCACCTTTGACTGTAAGTTTTCTTTTCATCTGTTCAACAACTGTTCCAAATCTTTTCCATTTTGCTCAGTCCCTAGTGCTGTAGCCAACACACAGTGATGAACTCCATTTTGCTCAGTCCCTAGTGCTGTAGGCAACACACAGTGATGAACTCATGTTACTAAGACTAATTATAAGCTCTCATCTTCCCTCCTCTCCTCCTTGAGATCCCTCTATTTTTGTGCATTCTCCTTTCCTACCCTACTTTTGGATTCTTCCTATTCCAGACTAATCCCAAGAAGCTCTTCTTTTAGTACAACTTCCCCCTCGCTTATTCCAATTCCCTGCCCCATGAAAACGGCCTCCTCACAGACACCTCCCAAACACTTTTAAGGGTGCACGGGGCCACTCCTTCCACTGCCCCTGTCCAACCACCTAGCAACATTTGGGTCAAATCCAAATTCACTTGCCTACAAAGGCCAAGGAAGTCATGCAAATGAGAGAAATGAGCTGGGTAGGAAGGATAACAAATGGGGTAGGGGACTGTGAGGTGAACAAAAGAATGTACATTATTTCTAAGGTGGTCACCCAATTGTTACCAAGAGGGAATGAAGACCCATTGGTAGCACATCTCCCAATTTTCCAAGAAAATCAAATATGTTTTACATAAAACCTTCCAATTCATAATTGTTGAAAGGTAATCTTTTCATCTTTCATTGCTGTGGAGAATAGTAACCTGTAAGTCAATCAAAGCACATTTGAGAGGCCCATGCACAACCTCCCTGTTGCCTTGTCTACACTGGCAACCTCGTGTCTTGGTGTTTTGTTGTCTCACTACCAGCTGCACCACTCCACTGAAATTCAGTGCAACCCTCTGACTTCCTCTCCAAGCTCACCATCTAACAGTGTCTCATTCCAAGTTACTGAAACTGATGACCAATGACCAATTCACATACTTCTTGGTGTCCACGACAAACTGTTTTCCTGGTTCCTTACTTTCCTCTTCTACTTCTTCTCTGATCCATCCTCCTCCTTTTCATCTCCAAGTCCTTTCACACTACCTTGCAGGATAGTGTGAGAAGCTCATATGCAGTGAACATCTGCACAACACACTCTTCAAGTGAAGTTTTCTAGAGACAAATCACCTTAGGTAAGCACCTAAGGTGCTTACATGGTATTTGTAGTGTTTCTGGTCATTGATGCACATTGAAATCACCTGGGGCATGTAATCCACACATGGTGACAGTTTAAAATTACTATACTGCATATCTGAAAGTTACTAAGAGAATACACCTTGAAAGTTCTCATTACAAGGAAAAAAATTTAACTATGTACAGTCATGGATGTTACTGTGGTGATTGTTTCATAATAAATGCAAATATCAAATTATTACTTTTTAAAGGTTTTAAGGTGAAGGATTTTTTAAAATATTTATTTATTTATACAAGAACTGGGGTACAGGCCAGAAGCGTGGGAAGGTGAGAGAATTCACCAGAGACAGAGCAGGGAGCAGATGCAGGGGGTGAGAGGATTCATCAGAGACAGAGTGGGGAGCAGAACAGGCAGACTGACTGAAATACACTGCTGAGGGGAGCAGTGGGCAAGAAAGGAGAGGTCTGCCGTGCCATGTAGGTATCTCCCTGGCCGGCTGGGAATTGAACCCAGAAGGTGCGGACATCTTCACAGCACTGCACTAAACCGGCTACGCCACTAGGGAGGCCCAAATGTCAAATTATTGTACTGTATACCTGAAACTAATATAATGCTATCTGTTAATTATAATGTCAATTTTTAAAAAACGATCATTGCATGATTTGTACTTTTTCAGAGGGTCTTTTATGACTCCTTCAGATAGATTTGTATGTCTCTCCCTAGCTTTCTATACTTATTCCCAAGAAAGAAAAAAAGGAAGGAAGTAATGGAGGGAGAGAGGAAGGAAGGGAGGAAATAAATCACTGGGGATGAATTTAATTGGTTTGGGTTATAGCCTGAACTCAGGATTTTTTAAAAGCTCTCCAGGTGATCTAGCACAGGTTGTTGGGCATCTTCTCTCTGATTGTATCTTTTATTATCTGAATAAACTTTCAGTGAAAGTAAAGTGTTTCTTGAGCACTACTTCATGTTTATCTATAGCAGTGAATCTCTGAGCTCTCCATGCTCCAAGCATCTTTCTCAACCAGTCCATCATGCTCTATGATTGTGTTCCCTCCTTTTTTACAGACCTTGCTGAACCCTTCAGGAATAGACCTAGGCCTGTTCCTGGGTCTGCTGAGTGGTTCATGATAACACAAGGTCTCTGGAGTAAAACTCAGGGATATGCTGAGCTCATTTTGGAACAGTTGAATTGTTCTTATACCTGGTGAACAGGCAAAACAGAGTCTACAGCAGAATCAGACAGATGAAAGGAGGCTATAGAACTCCCATATAAAGGTGAGCCTCTCACTTCCTAGCCAAATCCTCACCCACAGAAATAGTATCTACAGCAGCAGTTCTGCCTATGGAACTTTGGGAGGTCCATGTCTCACTGGGGAGTATGCCAAACTGCCCCCTGCCCTATGCAGTTACTTCTAAGTGGATCTATTTCTGAATCCTTTGTCTTGAATAACTTTTCAGCCTCTTGTTATGTCTATTGTCACCTTTCTATATTCCCCATCATCCTCCCAAAGTGACAGCCTCATAGATCTCTGACACTCAACCACTAAGACCCATGCTTCTTAGGATTGGCATTTCACACCCTTCCCAATCTGACTCCACCAGGCCTCCTGGCCTTGTCTCCCACTACATCTAAATTGCTACCTTGAGCTCTGCCCCATGGGCAGCTAAAGCCGAGAAGAATTTGAATCACTGAGATGCCCCAACCAGTAAAAGGGTATGACCTTTCATATTTTCCATTTACTGAGCTATAAAAACATATTTTTGAAACTAAAATTCCAGCAGAATGTGCAATGCTGAAAGCGAATTATTCTGGCTGATTTTAATATGTTCTGTCCATCTCTAACCTTATGATTACAGGTTTACCTACACTTGATAGCATTTGACAAAACACTTTCCTTGAATTATCTCTTAAATCCACACAATAATCTTGTGAACTTTTAGAAGATTAGAAAATGGACACACAGGGGCCTTCCCGGTGGTGCAGCGGTTGAGCTCTGGGTTGCGAAGCTGCCTGCAGCCTCCGCAGTGCTGGTTCCATCCCCAGCTGCTCCCCGGCCACCAGAGGAGGGTCCCACATGGCGCACAGACCTCTCCTGCCTCCCGCTGCTCCCCTCAGCAGTGTACCTTGGTCCTTCTGCCTGCTCTGCTCCCCGCTCTGGCTCTGGTGAATTCTCTCACCCTCCCACGCTTCTGGCTGTACCCAGTGCTTGTATAAATAAATAAAATAAATAAATCTTAAAAAAAAAAAGAAAATGGACACACAGAGATAATATTTTGATTTTCCTAAGGCCACACAGTTTGTGAGAGGCACAGATGGTCCTCAGTCCCATATCTTCTACTTTAAAAATCCCATTAACCTTCTACCACCTAGTCTTGTTTTATTTACTAATGCAAATCTCCAATTGTTCAGCAAAACTCAATGAATATTAATAAAATTAACTGCATGTGTTTGAGAACTTCAAATCAAAAGCATGCATTCATGGGACCATTCTGACTTTTTCAGAGCTCAAAGTAAAAGGTATATACCTCTCTGTAGAGTTGTGTCATTAGAAGCCTCTATACCCACGACTGTCCACAGATGGAGAAATGAAATCTTGTAAAAGGCACTGGAATTGAACAAAAATGACAGTAATGAAAGGGAGGAAAACAAACAACATTTCAGCAATGACATTGCTCTGCACAGAAAGCTGTCCATCACCAAATAGATGATGGCCTCTTTATGTTGTCATGCAAAATCTAATTATACCATTTACCATCCACAGTGCTGAAGACAGACCAAAATGGCCAAGTGTCATTTTCTTTTATTATCATTTGCCTTACATTCCAACACTAGAAGGAAGAAGTAGAAAGTATATAAAACTGTAAGAATCAGGGTGACTCCCTGGTGGCACAAGTGGTTAAGATGCAGTCTATGAAGCTGTCTGCAGCCACTGCAGCAGGAGTTCGATCCTTGGATGGCCAGGTTGCTACCCACATGGCACAGTAGACCTCTCCTGGCTTGCCCGCTGCTCCCCTCAGCAGTGTTTTCAGTCAATCTGCCTGTTCTGTTCTCCACTCTGTCTCTGGTGAGTCCTCTCAACCCTCCCCCGCAACACCTCTGGCCTGTACCCTAGTTCTTCCATGCATAAATAAATAAATCTTTACCAAAAACAAGAATCTACTCTGTTCTAATATTGGTGAAAATAAAGGTGTGTCTGTGGAAAAACTCTTGGCACCAGATGGCTGTGAGGTTGGAAACACATGAATTGAGTGAAGAGGGCTGAGGATGAGGTCTCAGGACGCATCTCGTGGCACCCTGCTGGCGGGGCTAAAAACATGAAGATTTATCGTAGAAAGTGTTTTATTCATTTTAAAAAGAAATGTTTTTTAAATCTTTGATTCATCTGCCCCACTTCTAGGAATTTACTGAGAAAAAACACATACACACACTCTCATGTATTAATAGTAGTTGAGACTAAAGTGGTGGCAGAGGAATGACAAGGAGGGTTTGGAAAAGATTTCATTTTTACTGTATCTTTTGCTATCTTTGGACATCTTTCCCAATGAATACACCTATTACATATATAATAAATTAATTTTAACAGGAAATTTTAAAACCCATGCTTCAAATACACATACTCTATAACCCAGAAACTCCTCTTTATATATATTTGCAAATAAGCACCACAAAGTCTATATAAGGATTTGTGGTACAATAATGTTTGCAATGCAAGATTAAATGAGTAGATTAGTTCACTAAATTTTAGGATATCCATTCAATGTAAACATCTACAGCTATGAAAAGCATAGTATATCCACATGCAAAATACTCTGCAAGATAAATTGATTTTTAAAGCAAAAAGAACATGTGTAGCATATTATCGATTTTTGTAAAAAGCAGAAAATATAGATAGATGAGGGAGGGGAGAGAGAGAAAGACTCTGTACCTAGAGATTTTCTAGAGAGAAATTTAGGAAACTTAACTCTGGTGGACAGTTGAGCAGGTTCCAGAATGAGGACTCTAAATGTATTCATTGTTTTAGGATTGTTAGTCTTGATATACATTAATTTTTCAATTAAACTTGATTTTTTAAAAATCAGTGCATTACCACAATTTTAATGAAAACTAACTTCAGTACGATATATTAATAATCTTATTCTTTATTCATAAATCTGAGCAGATAATTACCTTTAGCAGTATCTGATGAACCACAACAATCTAAAAGAACCAAGAATAAGGGGCCAAAGAAATTGACCCAATATGAAAGAAAGTCACATACTATTTCCAGAAATATTTGAGATGATATTACAATATCTCCCAAATAAGGAAATAGAAAACAAATTTGTGGAAATTGAAGTTATGACTGATAATTATTTAAAAATCACAAATTTATATACTCAAACAATAAAAAGAAAATATGAAAGGAAAGCTGACATACAGAAGACAAATCCCCAAGTATACAAATTTACCTAGTAATAGATTTAGGGGGAAAAAAAGATTAAATAAATTTTCAAGTTGAAGAAAGTCTTCCATAGGTGAAGAAGGACGTGAATCTCTATTGGAAGTCCTACTGAGAATCAAGCAGAAAACATGAACAAATCCTTCTGAAATTTAGGAACTTCACAGATAAAGAGGGAGTTTCAAGGTCTTCTTGAAGATGAAACAAATCAGCAAAAAAAAAAAACCAAAAACAAAAACAAAAAACAGTTTTCTCACGTAGGAATGAGAACCACAATGGACTCAGATTTGCCATCTGCTATATCTAATACCAGGAGATAGCTAAATAGGGACCTCAAAATTCCGAAGAAAAATTTTTACACTTCATCTTAGCCAAAAGGCCAAGAAGCAATCAGAGGAAAAATTTTTAACCTGAAATTCATATCCGTGAATCCTATCAATTTGAGAGTGAGAGAGATGTATCTTCAGATAAAAAAACAAAAACAAAAAACCTGAGAGGAGCCTCCCTGGTGGCACAAGGGGTTAAAGTCTAGCACTCTGAAGCTATCCGGTAGCCACTGCAGCACGAGTTCCATCTCTTGCCAGGGAGCTACCCACATGGCAAAGCAGACCTCTCCTGTCTTGCCCACTGTTCCCCTTAGCAGTGTATTTCAGTAGATCTGCCTCTTCTCTTCCCCACTCTGTCTCTGGTGAATCCTCTCACCGCCCCCCGACCTCTGGCTTATACACCAGATCTTGTATGCATAAATAAATAAATAAATCTTTTAAAAAAAAACTGAGAAAGTTTATCTCTTATGTTCTAATAAATACCTAGTATGTTTAACCCAAATTAAAATAATATTATGATTAAGCCACTGGGCAATCTTAAAATACGATGCCTTTCTTATAAAAAAAAAAAATAAGAAAGAAAGAAAAACAACTAAAAAGTATATGAGGAAGCTAATGTAAAAAAGAATGAAGTCCAAATAAACAGTGGCATTATTCTGGATGATTGCCAGTGTCAGAAAAATAAAAGTGCACTGGAAATTTGTGCTTAAAATATTCTTTTTGAACAACACAAGTTTCGTGACAGTAAGATGAATACAGCTTTCTCCATCATTCATTGGGCTCCCTCCTTGCTTCGGTGGACTATAGTGCTCTGGTAGTGGGGGCCCTATGGTGACAATACCCGAAGTGGGATCCCATTCTTCCAAAACACAAGCAACGATGTAGACCAAAGTCACCTCACTAAAAAAATTATTAGAAAAAAAAGGTGATATCTTCTCTACGGATCCCATCAAACTAATTTACTCCTATGAAAAAAATTTATAAAATACTTATAAAAACTCTTTATTGAATTTAAATGTTCAGAATCAACCTACAGATCAATATAGAAGAAATAAATGTAATTACCAAACAGAACATAAATATGGTTCAGCTTGAAAATATAAGACTCATAATGCTATAGGGCAGCCCCGATATTGAACGGGTTCCTGGCTGTGGGTCCTCACCCGCGCGCTTAAAAGGGACTTCTTAATACTCCACTACAGGCACACACAAAAGGTTAATAAAAGGTTTATTTACAAGGGAAAAGGAAATAAGGAAAATGTACTACTCAGGGAGAAAATAGGGAAATAAAGTCTTTAATGCGTCCTACCCGATCCGCAGACCTGGAAACCCAAAGGCACTCTCAGAGCTGGCCGGTCACTGCAAGCTGGCGGAGAGCCAAAATGGGGGACCCTTCCAAAGCCCACGTGTCTGGCTTTATACCAACCTGGCTGCTTAACCCCACCCTCAGGTCCCAGCCACCTTCCCTTTGGTGGTGATGGGATTTGGAGTTCCCAGTGTCTTTGGCTTTGGCCTGGGGTGGGGGTGGAGTCCACAAAGCCTGTATGGAATTAGCTTTAGGACATCCTTTTCCCCCTAACAATAACATATCTGATAATAGTTGAGAACTGTTTATATGAAAAAGGGAATTGGAAAAGATAGGAGTGCTAATTTTTTTATATTAATGGTGGGGAGCAAGAATTTTGTCTAAAGTTTGACATATCGGGCCTTCCCGGTGGTGCAGCGGTTGAGCGCTGCGTTGTGAAGCTGCCCGCAGCCTCTGCAGCACAGATTCGATCCCCGGCTGCTCCCCAGCCACCAGACATGGCGCGCAGACCTCTCCTGCCGCCCGCTGCTCCCCTCAGCAGTGTACTTCGGTCCTTCTGCCTGCACTGCTCCCCGCTCTGGCTCTGGTGAATTCTCTCACCCTCCCGCGCTTCTGACTGTACCCAGTGCTTGTATAAATAAATAAATAAATAAAAATCTTTTAAAAAATAAATAAAAAAAATAAAGTTTGACATATCAAGAGACAGGATTTACACATACAATTTAAAGATCTGAAAGTAACCAACAGAAAAACTAAAATATAATGAACACAAATGGGTATGAATGAACATATAAATAAAATGTGAAAGTAAACGACATTCACCAAATTTTACGCATGGAGTCAACAGACACTACTTAAAGTTGATAATAATCTTAATGAGTGCTTAAAAGATATTTTACATAAAAATTGATTTTAAAACATTTCTCATCCTCTGGGAAATGAGGTTAAGGTTGTAGGACAGCAAATCTTTTCATTTTTGTTTTACTCGCATGTATTCTGTTGGAATTTTTACTTCAAAGTTCTTTTGTTTTTTTATATTTAATTGCTTCTTGTACAAGTAGGATACCTCATAAACTCTAAGCAAAACATTTCTGTAAGCATGGCTATCATTAAGCAGTAATAATGAATAAACTAAATTTTATGATGTAGATAGTAATATATCCTACATTTTATGCATGAGGAAACTAAGACCTAGAGGTTAAGTAACTTTCATAATTACAGAGCAAATAAGAAACCAGGGGAGCAAAGGTTCAAATTCAGGTCTCACTCCTAAATCCATGCTCATAACCACTATGTTTCACAACCTGTACTTATTGTGTGATTTTGAACTTGCAACATGCAGATTCTACTATCTATATCAGCTCTGATAGCTCCTTTGAGTGAAGACGGTTTCCAAGGCCAACATTTTATAAATCAGTTGTACTAAATGCTAGCATAGTAAAACAATAGCCACAAACTTGGAGAGAAGATAATTTTGATTGAAATTCAAT